ACTCAAAGATGTTGGACGTCTCGTGGTGGCCGGTGAGCCGCCGGGAGTTGTCCCTGCCACCCCGTGGGTCGTAGACGCAGATGTGGTAGTCATGCCGCTTGCTCAGCTTCTCGATGGCAGCTTCAATGTGTCTATGGGAGAGGAGAATGGGGTTGGGTTTGTCATTAGGTCCATTTGGGGGGGTGTTCCCATGGCCAGGAAGGCTGTCACCCCCTCTTTCTGTGTAGGGACAAGGGCAGCCCAGGGGACACTCTCATACGACCAGCTGCTTTTAAAATAAAATGAGCTGGGACAGCCCCAGCCCTGCCTGGTGCAGCCACCCAGGTATGGAGACACATATGCTACGGGGAGCTGCCGAACAGCCTAGGACACCCCAAACCTCCCGGGTACATCCCAGGGACCCCCCGAGGACTCACTTAAGACCCCCTTCTCTCCGCATCTCCTCGGTGCTGTAGTTGGTGTGACACCCAGCGCCGTTCCAGTTGCCAGTCATTGGTTTGGGGTCCAGAGTAGCCACAACCCCAAAGTCCTCGCAGACGCGGTGGAGGATGAACCGAGCCATCCAGAGGTGATCCCCCATCTCGATGCCTTCGCACGGGCCCACCTGGAATTCCCACTGGAAGGGGCGAGTGGATGCACCGGTGAGGACGGGCAAGTTCGTGCCTCCCCAGCCATCACATCCCTGCCACCCCCCCAAGCGAGGGCTGCCAGCCTGGGGTACGGCTGCGCTTTACCCCTTGGGAACCAGCAATGAGGATGAGGAGCATCGAGTTAAGCAACAGGACAGCTTTGGCATGCAAAAAAATTGGAATAAACTGCTCATGACTAAATAGAGCAAATCAGAGGGTTTTTAATCAAAACGGAGGTAAATAAGCACCACGCCTGCCTTTGAGGCTGGTGCTGGCGTGCAGGATCCCCCAACCCACACTGCAAACAGGGCACGGGACTAACGAGGAGCCTGTTAGTCCTCCCCGGAGCTGCTCTGCTCCCTCCCCGGCTGGAGCCCGGGTTGCGCCACCCAGGGTGACTAAGCAGGGGGTGACGCATTTACGGCTGCTGGCATGGCCTGGCCGAGCCCGAGCCCAGGATGCAGAAAGCAGCCAAGAAAGACCCTAAAAAAGTCAGGGCAAACAGCAGGGTCGTTAAAAGTCCTGCCTCAGCTGCACTGCAGATAAGCCCCCTGCTTATCGCTGCCACATCAGCAGCGGGAGAGTCAGCGATTCGCAGGCTGCAGGGCCAAATCACCGTCGGTCAGTCTGGCCACCTGCCTAATGCAATCAGGGACTCCCTCTGGCTAACTCCTAAATAAACCTAAATCCCCCCTGACCGCTCCCCAAGGCCATGTCCCACCCGAGCTTCCCAGCTCCTGGGGTAGAGGAGCGGGATGCAGACACCCGTCGCTCCACATGCTGCTCCCGCAGCCCGTCCCGGCTCACGCTGTCCCCTGCGTCCCTGCTCCGCGGGGGAAGGAAAGCACAGGGGAGCACCCAGCTCCGCACGGGCTGCCAGAGCCCAGGCTGAGCTGTCCAAGGAGCTCACTGCAAATTTGATTTCGCTTGCCTGCCCCAAAAAGCAGGGATTTGCATGCTGGGGTGAGTTAGGAGAAAATCAAACATGTACATTTTCATCCTAGCAGTGCAACTGCTCCTATCGAGACAAAACCGATGTGGGGAGCCGCTGGATTTGGCATCCCAGAGGAGCTGGGAGTTGCTGGGTTATTCCAGCTTCACGATAACTCGTATCCATCATTGGAAACAGGGGCTGCGCGGGGCTGTCCACACGTACCTGGGAGGGCATCACCTCTGCATTGGTGCCACAGATCTTCACCCCCGCGTAGAGACATGCCTTGTAGTGGGACTCCACGATATCACGCCCGTACACCTTATCTGCCCCAACCCCGCAGTAATAGGGGCCTGGAAAGGAAAGAGGAGTCACCACCCAAGTAAAGCTTTTGGGAGCAACAGCAGCACTGCAGCATAATCCCACCACTCCCAGGTACCAGCCATCATCTGCAGAGGATTTATGGGAATTAAATGGTGTTGCCCTCCACAGTGCATCGAGCCACCAACCCCTAGTCCAGGACCAGCAGCATGAGCAATTAATCTGTGCAACCTCAGCCTTATCTAGGCAGTTAAACAGGACTTGTCATGCATCAACTGGGAGGTGGCCGGGAGATAAGGAAAGCTTGGCTTGGTCTGCCCTGCGGCACCTCGCTGACCCTCCTGAGCACATCAAGCGTCTGAGATTGTTCTGACAACAGCCGACATTGTTCGTGGCTAGAAAACTCAACTCGCCACGGGTTTTATAGGGCTCTTCCTCATTCAAGCAGGTCAGACGAAGATCTTCACCCCGCCTGGGGGAAAGGAGATGTTGAAAGCAGCCAGTCCCCACAAAAGGCTGATGAAGTCAGGTTGGGAAACCCCTGGCCCTCTCCCAGGAGGCAGCTGAGGCGCTGGGGCTCGCTCGCCGCTGCAGGAGGGCATGATGTGCCGGCCCTTTCCCAAACAGCCATGGGGAGGAGGTTTTCTCAGCCGAGTTCTCCAGCCCTTGCCAAACAAGTCGTGCAGCTGAGCTGTTTGTGCAACCGGGGTCTGGCGGGAGCGGCACTGCCGGCCGGCTCACATGAGCTGCGGGACACCCGGCGCTCTCGGCAAACAGCTCCTAACCTCATCCCGGCTCCTGCCCGGTGTCAGCCGCGATGGGAAAGCTGCATCTGAGGTTGGGGACGGGATGCTTGCTGCCGGGCAGCACCTCCCAAGCAGCAGGGTGGGAGCCGAGGGGAGCATTTGGGTTGGGGAAGGGAGGGAGCACTTCCCCTGTGGGCCGGGGAAGCCGTTGTCGGGCCAGCCGTAGGGGTGACCGTTGATGCCCAGCAACGTGTACTCCTGTTCCATCCCGAACCAGGGGTGGCTGTCCTTAACCAAGTCCATGACTTTCTTGCACGTGTGTCTCAGGTTGGTCTCTGGGAGCAGAGAGGTCTGGGTTAGACCCGCACCATGGGCAAGTGCCCGCCATGCTCCGCTCCGTCCCGCTCCGAGGTCAAGACTCCACCACTGCCAAGCACTTCCCAGAGAAGCCTTAAGGAACCCCCCTTCCTGCAACACCCTCTGCTCACCGGTTTCCTCCTTGCAGAGCTACTCCATTGCCACAGCATCAGGCCACAGGCCAAGGAGGTTTAATTAGCCTAGCCCCCAAACCAGCACTGATGGTCCATGAACATCCTCCTCTTACACACCAAGACCAGGAGCCATACCCCAGCTCCGTCCTACAGGCATCCGGCAGATCTGGGAACAGGGACTATACATCTCCCATCACTACTTCACCTCCATCCTCTTTCTACCAGCCTCAGCTTAATTATCCCTATCTTTCTCCTCCTCCGTGGTTTTGGTTAGCACCCAGGCTGGCTGGCCCTCCCTTGGCCCTTTGTGGTGGCAGGGGGGCTCAGGGCAACTGGGGCTTTGCCAGGAAGATAGAACTATCAGAGAACCATCCTGACATGGGACAACGTGCCAGGCAAGGGGAGTGAGGGTTTAGACAGAAACAGCAAGGCTGAAAACCTGTTGTCACAGAGACAGGCAGCACATTCTACCTTTAAATCGCAATAAAAGAGCAGCTACAACAAAAAGCCCAGGGTGTGGGGCTGGAGCGGAGCCGTGACATCTCCCTTGCACTGACGGGCGAAGGGGGGGAAGGCAGTTCCCCCCCGGAGCCCACACAGCCCTTAACATCCACAGAGACCCACCCTGGGAAGAGGCGGAGGGTGCACCCCTCTTGCCTGCGGGGTGTCGCAGGGCTCTGGGCTGAGCTCTCTGCCCCAGCTCCAGCCCCAGGAGCTCCAGGCCCAGGGGCTCTCGTTACAAATTGCTCCGGCGGAGGAGCTGCTGGGCAGGAATCTCACCCAAGACGCTTGCCCCGCGGCTGA